ACCCCCTTAAATACAATGAATTAGCCCATTGATTAAGACATTTTTAAACCCCTTGAGTACAATGACTTAATCCCTCGAGTACGATGGCTTAACCCTTAGAATACAATAACCTTAAACCACAATCTGATGGAGGTATTTCGAATAAAGGAAACAAAGATATAAACTTAAACCACCACCAAAAATATATCTTAAAAAAAACACGGAATTTCAATATGAGGTGAAAAAAAGAAAATGTGTCGTATTTCCTGATATAAAAGAGTAATCAGCCAAGACTTACGAGTCAATAAGGAACAAAAGTTTGATTTAAGATTTGTTCATTATTGTTTTCTTTCGATCTGGGGACACTGAAAGACATTTAATTGAGATATGAGTTTTTTTTTTCCTCTGCGGGTTTTATCTAGACGAGTGGGATGAAAGAGCGAGAGAGAGAGAGACATAGAGAGAGAGAGAGAGAGAGAGAGAGAGAGAGAGAGAGAGAGAGAGAGAGAGAGAGAGAGAGTAGTGCCTTTGCTGTCAACAGGTATTGGGAAAAGGTGGGGATACAAGGTGTACAAGTTACTAATAAGAATGGGATTGTCAACAGGTTTCTCTTTGGGTCTGCATAAGTGGACAAGGGTTTGGTATGAGTGATAGAGAGCGGCACAGACCCATACATGGACACACACTCCTCCTCTTATATTTTCACTGATACTATCGAGCCTACCGAGATTGAGGTACAGTAGATGGTTATATATAAACTGTAAAACATATCGTACTGCTCAAAAAAAATAATGTCCTCACCTATAACTAAAATAAACATATTACATTAATCTATAATTATGTACAGTAATTCCTTTGTGATACGAGTAGTTTGAAGTTGAAACCAAAAATTAATTAATTCACTGTTGCGATTGAAATACTCGTATGCCTGGCAGCGTCACGGAAATGGACAAGGAAAACATCTCTCTCAGTGTTGGAGTTACTTAGCTAATTAGTCAGTCTAAAAAAAATAGTTCACAGAGCTAACAAACGGAGCTAAGAAAAACTATCATTTATTCATTTACTGATACAACTGAAATGAAATTAATTCTTAGATATGTTGAGATAAATATGACATTTTGATTAGTTGTTGCTCACTGACTGTATTTAATATTGTTTACACTAAAATGAAAATGATGCCGTTGACTGAGAGAGAGAGAGAGAGAGAGAGAGAGAGAGAGAGAGAGAGAGAGAGAGAGAGAAATGGATATAAAATGAGAGAAGAAAATGAGAAAAAAAAACCGAAATATAGACAGAGTATTTCAGTCTCTGTTGCTCACACTCCGGGTATATTTGTGTTAGAGAGAGAGACAAGTCACACCCATACTGTCTATGTACCTTTGATTGTCCTCTGTAGTCTAGTATACCTGCATCTGTCTTGAGTACTTTACTGGTTCAAATTACCAGTCTGTTTGTATATACGTTCTTCCATTGTTAAACAAGAAAGGGAAATAAATAAGTTTAGTTTTGAGGATATTGTATCATGAAACTGGTACAGGGTAAAGAGTTTAATTTATTTTGAGTACAGTGACTTAACCCCCTTGAGTACGATGAATTAATCCTTTGAATACGATAACTTAAGCCCTTGAGTACGAGGAATACAGTATTTGAATATAATGACTTAAGATCTTGAGTACAATGAATTAAGACTCAAGGTACAATGCGTTAATCCCCCTGACGCCAATACCATACAGAGTCATTCTATTCAATGGGTTAAGACATCATTCTCAAGATCAAGTGATTAAGGCATTGTATTTAAAGAATTAAAATCGTACTCAAGGGGTAAAGTCATCGTACTCTAGGGATCATGTCATCATACTCAAGGGATAAAGTCATCGTACTCTAGGGATCATGTCATCGTACTCAAGGGGTAAAGTCATCATACTCTAGGGATCATGTCATCGTACTCAAAGGGTAAAGTCATCGTACCTAGGACATCGTACTCAAGGGGCTAAGACCAGACCCCAAAAAAAAGAAAATAATTAGACGTGAAAAAACAAACATATAATTATGGATATTGTAAGATACTATTTTACTGATACTGTGGCTACTGGAGCATAACCATCACAGTAGAGCATTCAAGAGGAGCATTACTGTAGGTGCTGACGCTTCACATGGTAAGACCTGACGTGAAAATGATGAGTTTTGTTTGTTGTATTATCAATGTATAATCTTATTTTAGTTGTTTTAAGAGAAATACTGGTGGTAAAGTGACGTTGTTGCTTCAAGGGTGTAATTAATAACATCACCTGCAGAATTTTACCCAAGAGTCGCCACAGTTCACTGAAATAGTTGATTCTTTTTATTTTCAGGAGAATTAAGTTTAACTGTGTTTATTTAAGTTAAATTGTGTTATCTTGCTCTATCCTTCACTTATCATCTATAATCTCGTATATACACAGTTGATGTCAAATATACACACAGCACTAAATAACAGGTGAATTAACCATAAATACAACTTCCATGATTTATTGTGTTGTGTTCATTTGTGTATTGTCACGGTGAGCCGTCGTTCAGAGAGGCCGCTGGCTTCAACTCTAACCAGGGTGGGCAAGAAATTAGAGTGTACATATAATTAGCTAAACCCAAATAAAACCTACGATAAATGTTTTTTAGCAGAATGATTTGTAAAGAAAAAAAAACGTAAATAGACAAAAATACTTCGGCACTTATTTTTCCCCACGCCATTAAATACTTCTAAATGTAAAGAAAAAGAAGAAAAAAAAAAGGAAAATTTATCCTAAGAATAACAACAAAGGTTTCATGACAAGGGGGTAAAAATAAATTGAATTCCCTTTTTAAATGACACAAATGTAATTGGCTATTTGGCGTCAAATGTTTGCATGTATATTTGATTCTATTTTATGTTTTAGTGAACTCGCGTCTCTTGCGACAATCCCTGTTTCTGTTGCAAATTGTCTCGTTCAAGAGATTTGTATAGAACAAAGAGAGATAAAGCAGGTAATAAATACAACAAATAATTAACATATGAATAAAATAGGTGAACAGAAACATAAATGATCATAAACAACAGAAATAAAACAAATAAACAAACAAAACAGACATAAAACAAATAAAGGACATGAATAAAACACGTGTAAATGAAGCAGACAGACAGACAGACACATATACATACAGACGTACACATATACAGACAGACAGACAGACACACACACACACAAAGAATACAAACGAGAGAACTGTTACATCACAGCTTTATTATTAAACTGAAATCTGAAAATTCATGAATCTCCTCTCTCGGCGCTGCAGAAGGGATATGAAGCTTGGTCACTTGCTCATCCCTGAATAAATAGGGAAAGGCTTTGTTGTATAAAAAAAAAACTATTGATTCAGGAAATACAGAAGTCTTGTGTATTATGATGTGTGTGTGTGTGTGTGTGTTCTTGCCGAGGTCTACCCAGCGTGTGTGTGCGTGTGTGTGTGTGTGTTCTTGCCGAGCTCTCTACCCAGCGTGTGTGTGTGTGTGTGTTCTGCTGAGGCTCCACAGCGGTGCGTGTGTGTGTGTGTGTACCCCAAGCGAGTGTCTACCCAGCGTGTGCGTGTGTGTGTGTGTTCTTAAGCGAGGTCTACTCCAGCGTGTGTGTGTGTTCTTGCCGAGGTCTACCCAGCGTGTGCGTGTGTGTGTGTGTTCTTGCCGAGGTCTACCCAGCGTGTGCGTGTGTGTGTGTGTTCTTGCCGAGGTCTACCCAGCGTGTGTGTGTGTCATGTGATTAGCACTCAACTCACCACCACAACACCTGGCATACGGTAACTACTCCAACACCTCACATAAAAGCAGTTCGGTTCTTACACTATCAATTACCAACAGCAAAATAAGATATGACCGCTATATATATAAAGTGATGGACATATATCCTCCACAAATACAACTAACGTGAAATATACAGATAATTAAACTGAGGTGTACAGAATTATAAGTCACTTTAGTGTCGCACGTCCCATATGTAAACAACACGTCTGTCCCTCACCCACTGACACCTGGTCATTTCACCCTCCTTCCCTGTTTCCTCCTCCCTCTTAGTCTCTCCTTCTGTCCTAATCCGTCTTATCCCCCACTACCGTCATAATCCCTCATTACCCCTGTCTTACCACCTGTCCTCAGCCCCCCCCCTCCCCCCCCCACCGCACCAAAAGCCATAATAACCAGAACAATCTTCTGTAACAAGCAAAAAAGTATGTTTTAATCTGTGACCTTTGACCTCTGTACCAGCAACAAACACTATTCGCCTTTGGTGTTATCAGAGGGCAACTTTAAACAAGAGTCGTCCCCAAATGTGCATAAATGTAAAAGAAGTTGAGGCGTAAAAAATTAGTATTGCCAGAGACCTTTGAACACTGACCCCTGTCCAGTTAAATAAAATGGAAAATATTTAATACATTTTATTATGGTGGACGGTCGTGTCTAGCTTTACTATATTCTTCTTTGTTGCTAGATTATACGTTCGTTGATTAAGAGAGAGAGAGAGAGAGAGAGAGAGAGAGAGAGAGAGACCCCATAAACCCTTTCGGTCCTCCTGTCATACAATAAAGTTATCGGGTGACTTAATTCTGTTGTCTCCATCACCGGTGTTTGACGGAGTGTCGTAAACGGTGACAGGTTGTTGTCTAGTGTGTGTCCTTGAACGCTGGAGAGAGAGTGTGTGTGTGTGTGTGTGTGTGTGTGTGTGTCTATGTGTCTATGAGGGTCAGTATGTGTGTAGGTTGGTATATGCGTGTTTGTGTATATTTTTCTATGTGTGTGTGTGTATGTTTGTATATGTATGTGTGTTTGTGAGTGGATTTAAGTATACATTTATTCAGGTGTGCAGCGTATTAGATCACATACATATATGCATATGTTTTTACACATATACATAATTGTGAACCTGCGTGTGTGTATGTATGTATGTATGTATGTATGTGTCGTCATTCTCAGTCAGAACAAAACAATCTAACTTTAACAATTATTCCTGTTGTTTCAGACCTTTGAGGCAAGAAAGTACTATCCCACTCAACTTATGATGATAAAACCGCTCTATTTCACTCAACCAGTAGTTCAATTCTTCCTTATTTTTTTAAAGTAAGTTGACGTCACTTAATAGTTTTCTCTGTTGTTTTTTACTGATCTGAAAAAGTTAAGGAAAATGTCGTCATTAATGTTATTGGTTTTTGTACTTTCTTTGTTAACATTTATGTAAGTTGTTTATATTCCAGTAAAATATAGTATAGTTTCTAACTTTAATTTTACCTGTTTTGTTTTTTTATATAATATCTTAATTATGTTTGTAGATAAGTATTATTTTTCCCTGTCTGTAGGTTAGGTTAGATTAGGTTAGGTTAGGTTAGGTTAGGTTAGATTAGGTTAGATTAGATTAGGTTAGGTTAGGTTAGGTTCACTTTGTCGTAAGCGATACCACAGCCACCATAAAGAACAAAATCCCTCAAACTCTCGTGCATAATTAACCCTTCGTATCATTAATAAAGATCTATGTACATTATACCTAAAGTAGCATCAAGTAACTTACCTTCTCTTGTTTTATTATTTCCAGCAGCTGAGGAGAACATAGCACAGAACTTGGACATCGAGGTGACTTCACAGGACATCACTACTAATGACAACGAAAACAAAGTCAAATCGAGTAGAAATGCAGAGATTTTCCCTTTAACTTCTGCATTCATTGAAAAACTCTGACTGCTGTGGACTGGAATAAAAAAAATCATACTAGAATGAAAAGAACTTGTAGAAAATGAACGTGATAAGATATGTGTTTGGTGATGATGATGATTAATTAAAGGTATACCTGGATAATGAGGTTACTTCAGGTGTGATGTTATTCATTGTGAAAGGAAAATAAAACAGTCAAGATTGAACAGGAATAACATCTGATAATATATGTATCTATATAAACAGTTACTTAATCATCTTCCAAAGTGTACAAACAACAGATTATGGCTTAAACTGCAATAATTCAGCCATAATTCTAAAACTCTCTCTGAAATACTAATAATTTGATACACATTTTATGGTTTGACATTCACTAAGGTAGATGGAAATTTATTAATGCAACCAATCACTTTGACAACTTGAATCTATTAAGAGAAAAATCGGCAGCATTTTATAATCTTTGTCAAGGCTGGAAGGTAGATAGTGACGGAACATGTCCAGTGTTTTTTAATCGTTGCTGTGATGTATCTCAGTACTTCAACAATCAAAGTATTTATGCATGTTTAAAACCCCATTTCATGCATTACACAATAACTTTTAAAAACCAAGCGTGATAAATCCTTCTGTTATGGAAAAGAAAAATCCGCAACAAGGACTGAACACGTGTTCAGTTCAGTTTCATGCACTGCTCGAGTCCTGTATCCGAGGTAGTGCAGATGACATAGCCACCTTTATAATGATAACCTGAACATACAGATAAACTCTACCTTTTGAGACGACGCGTAACAAAAAAAAAAAACTTTCTGGTCAGACTGAATGTATAAGAAACATTTACCTTGTACTTGTTAATTAACGAGTTAAAATGAAGATTAAATCTCGTAGGCGCAGGTGTTACAGTGCTGACGGTGATGCGATGTACGATGTGTTATGTTGTGGTGATGTAGCATGAAGAACACAGCACAAGAGGAACGTTCTCCAGGGTGTGAACTTTATGTACACCATCAGGCAGATTTTCGCTACTAAATATTCAACGAGAATCTCAACGTTTGATGTCCCGGTTTATGTGATGTCAATATAGCAGACGTGGCATAAACTACCTCCACAAAGGCATGGGTGTCCCCTCGGTTAATATATGAACCACATGTGAGAAGTAGGTTAATTGATGATCACGTGCTGCAGGTGTGGGGGTACAGCTGTCATACCTGTCAGTACACTGTTGAGTCGAACACCTGTGCAACTTCACACCTCTGCTCACTCACTCCCCCTGATGGCCGTGTCTCGCCTGATATCCCATGTTATTACACAAGACTGAGGATGGCTGTACTGTCTCTCACTCATGTAAGGATGTGGTCCTGTCCATCAGCGTAGAATTGCTCGACGCTGAGGATGATTCTCCTGTAGTTCACTCTCCGGGAATCATCAATCCTGGAAGGGAAGGATTCACCGATGATGGTGTTACTCTCAATGATCCTGCTGGTGGTGGTGGCGGTGGTGGTGATTGGTGGTCTCTGCCTCTGCTACTTCTTCTCCATCAGGGCCATGTGGAGAGGTGGAGGGAGGCAGCCTGTGGCCCACCCAGAGATCACGTGAGAGTTACTGGGAGACGCTAGGTCAGCCTGGGTCACCTGACGAAGGGCATAAAATCAGGAGATATTTTTAGCTGTGACCCATAAACTATTAACATCAAACAATAATGACTTCAGCAGAGGTCAAGAGTTAATAAGAGAGCAATGGAAGTAACACTTATTATTAAATTATAGACAGTGTGATTCGCTCAGGTCTAGTGAGTGTATGTCAAGAAGACAACTGTAAATAATATATATCGAAATCTGAAGTGAGCTGAAGTGTGAGGGACAATGCCTAGGCCGACAGGTAAAACAGGAGTGTGTTACCTGGGCAAAATCAGTGTACGGTTGAAAGTGACTGAAGTGTGTGCACAGGTGGATTAAAATTATAAAATATCAATCATCCAACTTCACGAAACGAGTCAGAACTATGAATCACTGAACGCTAAGATGTGTGTCGACTATTCATTATTGTGGTATAAATAAACATACACTACCACATGACTTACCACTCTGCCAAACCATTGTAGTGAGAAAATCAGCCACAGACTTTTTGTTTCTTAAATGACAAGAAAATGCCCGGATTAATGCCTTGTGTGCAAAGGTGAAGAAGACGATTTAATTACCGTGTTATATATAAGAGAAGACAATAGTTGCATACGTAATGAAGAAAACAAGAATGACGACAACTTGCTGGAAGACGTCGAATGAAAACAACAGAAGACAACACATCAACAGGTAACACTAACTTAATTAACTATTTAACCTAGATAAAAATATTAACTTATAATTTATTTAATAATTATATGTACAGTGAAACCTCTATTTAATGGACTACAACACTGGAGTTGTGCCAGAGTTGTGGAAACAGGCAAATGTAGTACCCATATTCAAAAAGGGAAAGAGCATCAGCGTCAAATTACCGGCCGATCAGTTTGACGTCAGTAGTGGGGAAATTTCTTGAATCAATTATAGCAGATAGCATCCGATCGCATCAGAGAAAAGCAAATTAATCTACGACTCTCAACATGGGTTTACAAAGGAAAATCTTGTCTAACAAATCTGCTAACGTTTTTAGGAAAGTCTTCGAGGTAGTAGATAATGACGAAAATTACGATGTTATTTACTTAGACTAGCAAGCATTTGACAGAGTACCGCATCAGAGGCTTCTGGAGAAAATTAAGGCCTCATGGTATCGAGGGAAAGTTTTAAATTGGTAAAATCATGGCTCACCGATAGAACGCAGAGGGTCAGCGTAGATGTGTTAAATCTGAGTGGCCGTGTAACCAGTGGGGCCCCTAGTCAGTACTAGGCCCACTCTTGTTCATAATCTACATAAACGATTTAGATACTGGGATCAGCAGTGACATAAGCAAGTTTGCGGATGACACCAAAATAGGGCGGCAAATTAATTCAGGGCAGGATGCAAATGCATTACAGGAGGACCAATAAACTGCAGGGTGGTCTGAAAATGCAAATGAAATTCAACACCAGCAAGTGCAGCGTACTTAATATTGGATGAACAAATACTTATAATGTATACAGCCTTAACAACATCAACCTAGAGAAGTCGATTGTGAAAGAGACCTAGGGTATTTAAGCCCGGACCTACGGCCTAGAAACAGTGCGTTAATGTTCGAAATGAGGCAAACAGAGTATTGGGTTTTATATCTAGAAGTGGTAACAAGAGTGCAGAGGTCTTATTGCAACTATATCTTGCGCTAGTCAGGCCGCACCTCGATTATGCGGTCCAGTTCTGGTGCCCCTATTATAGAATGGATATAAATTCACTAGAGTGTGCAGCGAAGAATAAAAAAATGATTCCGACTGAGAAACCTTCCATATCAGGAAGGTTAAAGAAACTTAACTTGCATTCCCTAGAAAGACGAGCGGGAGGTATGATAGAAAAGTATTTAAGTGAAAGGAATCAATAAAGGGATATAGATAAAGTTCTTATAATATCCGAGCAGGATAGGACTCGGAGCAACGGATTCAAGTTGGATAAGTGGTTTAGGAGGGAGATAGGAAGAAACTGGTTCACAAATAGGTTGGACGAGTGGAACAAGCTTAGCAACTTTGTAGTAAGTGCGAACCCGAAAGTTTCAAAAGGAGGCTAGATAGATTCATGGATGATAGAGAGTGGTAACTCTCGACAGGAGTTGCACAGGCCAACCGGCCTATTGCAGACTCCTTATTTTCTTATGTTCTTATGTTTTTAGGTCCGTTAGATGTGGAACCCTCACCAGGGTAGGGTAGGGTAGGGTAGGGTAGGTTTGATTAATTCGGTAAGATTACTTTAGGTTAAATTAGGCTGGATCAAGTTAGGTCAGTTTAACTTAGATTAGATTAGGTCAGGTTTGGCTAGATTTGAAACAAAATAGAATAACACCAAGTACGCAGGTGAAGTAAGAGACAAGGTAGAAGGAGGGGGGATCTGTCGTTCAGTGAAAAGGAGATATACTGTGGGCAGGAGAGAGAGAGAGAGAGAGAGAGAGAGAGAGAGAGAGAGAGATTAATATGTGTGTGACGAAGGAATATGAGAAAGGGAAAAGTGAGAATTACAGTACATGTGTTCCGAGTGAGTGAATATTCCTTACGTGAATTTCCTTGGCATTGATTAATAACATCTTCAAACAAAACCCTATGTTAATTATACCTAATAATAACAAACAATAGACTATAATCTATCTCATTTAAAGAAAAACAAAACAATAGTCCTAGTTTATATTATCCTTCCCCCCAAAAAAACAGAGGAAATAAAACAGGAAAAAAGTACAGAAAAGTCAGGATTTTTTCTTTTGTTTCCGTAAGCTTTAGGGAGTGAAGAGGGAGTGAAGAGGGTGTGAAAAGGGTGTGGAAAAAATGAGTGTAGAAAAAATGGGTGTTCTACAGGTGAATAATTTGTGACATGGTAGGAGTGGATAAAGGGTGAATCTGTCCTTATAATGGTGAGGGGAATAATGGAAGGGTGGAGAGACAGGGTGAAGGGTGAAGTGTGGAGGGTGGGAGGTTAGGTTAGGTTTAGGTGAGGTGTTAGGGATGATTGGATTAGAGTTGGTTAGATTTTAGATTGGGTTACATGAAGAAGGGTTAGGTTAGATTATGTTACATAAGTCAAGGTTAAAAGTTACATTCGGTTGCATTAGGCAGAGTTAGGTTAGACTGGGTAAGGTTGGTTAAGTTAATTTAGATTAGCTTTGGCAGGGAAAAGTTAGGTTAGGTTAGTCAGGGTTTGCTTAGATTAGTTAGGTTAGGTTAGGTTGAAGATAATATAGGTTAAGTTAGGGAAGGATAAGTTATGTTAGGCTTAGCCCGAGTTAAGTTAAGTTAGGTTAGGAACGACTGTTAGGTTAGTTTTAGCCAGAGTTAAGTTAAGTTTCGTTCAATCAGTGATCACACCGTTGAGAGAGGCTCCCTCCAGCGTGTCTTGGTACCTTAACTGTGTGTCATCTAGTTTACATGCATTTCAATATTCATACTCGTATTCAAACTCAGGCCCTACCTTAGTTTTCATGGTTCAATGTATCCTCTTCTTATATGTATAACCGTATTATTATTCATTTATACATGTTAAGTCACGTAAACTTTGTATTTTCATTCATAATTAAAATTGAAATATTATTATTATTATTCATATACATAATTCTATCCACAGTCATAATTTACTGATTTATTCACATTAATTCATTCCGCTCTTTGTATTCAAATTTACATACAATTCCATGGTCGAAGTCCTTTGAATATTTAGATACATATCCAGGTTAAAGAAATCCCCAAGTGAGGTAGGAAGGGAACAGATTGAATCGCAAATTACAAACGGGTGGTATTGTTGCATATTGCTACTCAATATTGTTAAGTCATATTAAGACAACTGTAATATCACTGTAATTATATATATGTCACTTTGTATTTTTTATTTTTTTAGTTGAATGAGAAATATAATCAACTTCTCATTTATTTCCAATCTAGTCTTTGCTGCCACTTGAGAAGGGTTTGTTTATATTATTGCAAAAAGAAAAGAAAAACGGCCCTCGACTATGACGTTTTCTTTTTTAATTGGATGGGTGTCTATAATAGATGCTCTGCTACACTACACTCGTTGAACAAACTTCGCCCATGAGTTTTATATAAACATATTTCATGAACTCTTACAGGTATTATATAAATGATTTAATGGAATATAGGCTGCAGATATGTTTTGCCGAGGTGAGTGAACAAGAGTTAATGTGTTCCCACTTTTTAGAGAGATAGAAATTTGTATAATGTTGGTCCATAGATCTTAGTGGTCCATTATATTAATCTATAGTTCTAATTGGCCCATCATGTTGGTCCATAGATCTTATTGGTCCATTAAGTTGGTCCACAGATCTTGTTGGCCCATTATGTTGATCCATACATCTTATTGGACTATTATGTTGGCACATGGATCCTATTTGTCCATTATGTTGGTCCACTGATCGTTCTGGTCCATTATAATGGTCCATAAATCTTATTGGTCCATTGTGTTAGTCCATTATGATGGTCCATAGATCTTAGTGATCCATTATAATAGTAAATAGATCTTATTGGTTCGTTATGTTGGTTCATGAATCTTATTGGTCCACCATTTTTAGTTCATATTAACACATGTTTCAGTAATATAATTAATCACCCCATTTTATAACATATATTATAACTATATATTAAACCACATGGCACGCATACACCGTGAAAGCCTTTGTATGGGTTCATTCGTGTCGTAAATTCGATAATGCAGCTTCATTTGCCTACAAAGGTTATCTATACTTTATATTGGCGCTAGGTAAATATGTCGTGTGTGTGTGTGTGTGTGTGTGTGTGTGTGTGTGAACTCAACCACTCCACCAATACCCTGATACGAGATGTGTAATTCTACTCGTTATTTACTGTACAATATTAACCTCCTTGTTCAGTGTTATCACATCTTAATACAAATACAACGGCGTTTCCACAGTGCGCTGAGTTTAGTTTAGTTCGTTATTTTTTAATGGGTGTGTGTCGTTCAGTGTAAAGTGTGAGAGGACCTGCAGTAATTATTTTTGGCTCGTGAGGAAGGGGAGGAGGAAGGGAGGGGGAGGGAAGAAGGGGGAGGAAGGAGGGAGGAACGGGGAGGGAGATAGGATAGAAAATAAACTCCCAAAAATTTAAATGCGTAAATATGTGTCTATCTATTCCTGTTTTCTATTTTTTTTAGGTAAGGATTTTTTTTTCTTTGTAAACATAAGTCGTGTTTGTTATTCTTTTCTTTTGATCGTAATGAACGTTTGTATACATTTATTTATTTTATTTTTATCAATTGTTTGTTGATCTCCGCTGTCTATACTCTATAGGTTGGTGTGTTTTTGTTTGTCTCTCAACTTATTTAATTGTATTTTGATTTTTGTTTATATCTCTCTCCTGTATTTCTTCTTTTTTTGTATTTAATCTTTTCTCTGTTTCCTCCTCTCTCTTCCCTTCCTTCCTTCCTTCCGTCCTTGCTGTTTTCCTTAACTCTTCTCCACGCCTTCCTTCTCTTTTGTTTTATACTCATTGTTCTTCCTCGCTCATTCCTTCCCTATTCTCCCTCCTCCCTTTGTTCCTTCCTCTCTTTCATTCACCAATTCCTTCCTAACAAAATACCAAAAAAGGCGAAGAATCCTGAAAAAAAACAATATATTTTCATTACTTTTATATATTTTTTTTATCTGTTCAATATCTATTATTTTTTCCGCCACCAACCA